TCAGCAATAATGGGCTCCATGTTGTAGTTGTACAGTCCAGCAGTGTAGATTTCCCCTCCGTCCAAAGTGATGGCATCGGCCTCACCAGCCTGTTTTAAAGCACCATCTATTACCAACCTGCAGCAACAGCTCAGACACATGTGATCAATAGCTATATTGCATAACTTGTGTGTAACTAAATGCAGTTGTTCAAAAACAGTTGTTCTTATTTTTGACAATACTTATACTATACTTGAGAACTTCCATTTAATACATATNGCTGTGAGAATGGGTCTGCAGAGAAAATGGGTCTGCAGAGAGAATTTCGCCGCGATCCCAACCAGGAAGGAGAGATCAGCAGAGCTGCATGCACTGAGTGTGTGTGTGAGGAAGTCCGTGGATTGGTCAATTTGGACCAATCAGCGGGGGCTTAACGTAACGGCTCCGCGGACGTAACGTAACGGCTCCACGGATTGGTCCATTTGGTTCCGGGTAACGCATGACATCATGAGTTACCCGGAAGAATCAATGGACAGTGACGTATCTCCAACGAGGCGTTTTGGGCAGGTATTTTCTGTGTTAGAGTTTTACTCGCTACAGGGTGTACTTTGAGGGTTTTGACTAAAAACCTTCATAGCGCACAAGGGGACAGGTAATAACCGGAAAAGCATGACATGGGACCTTTAAATAACAATAATCTCATCAATCAAAGATCAACATTTTTAAGTGCCTTGAGCACCGACTGTTCCCGCTGCTAGAAACGGCTGATATTAAGAGAAGCCCCTCAATGGAGTGCGCAATGCCTCAATGAGTTCAATGTGGGCGGGAGTTTAACGTGGGCGGAGCTTCAAAGATTACGTGTTGCATCCTGTTGCTTCCTGTTTCCCGGGTAGCAGTTCTCTTCCCTCCCTTCAATCTAATCCTTCCCCCCATCCTAACCCTAACCACTCCCTACCTTTTTACCTAATCCTAATCTTCCTTCCTCCCTCCCTCCCGAACCTAAACCCCAAAACCTCATTAAAATCAATGTTGATATGACGTAATTTAAATTAAATAGAAGGTTTTAATTTAAAGCAGTTTTATTCTGAAAAAAACAGAAGTTCACACTAACTATTAACTTAACATTTTTAATGAAGTGAATTGAAGGTGAAATGACATGTGATGTTGCACACTAAACACACTGGGATTAACACTCATTTATGACGTTGAAATAACGTTTATCAGGGAATGTTTAAATAACCACAGACATCAGAATTATATATATATTAATAATATAATATATAATAAGTTACTTTTGTGACTGGGTAAGAGAAAGGTTGAGCTCCGCCCACTTGAGACATTGAGGCATTGTGCACTGCATCTGTCTCCCCTCTTCAAATCTGTCTCTCTACAATAAAGGCAATGGTTGTCCAAAAAATCAAATGTGTATTCTTGGTTAACAGTAACTATTAACATCCATAGAAAGCATGCTAACATTTGATTATAAGCAGTAAAAGTAGATTGATCTGTTTTGGAACAAGGCCAGCAAATATGTCATTAAGCTTGAATCCATCTATCAAAATCAATCATTTATAGAGAAAACAATTATACATTAAAGACAAGCCTTGACTTGTAGTCCTTAAGAATGAATGACGCTCGCTGCCTGGTTGGTGACACTGCTGTCTCGCTTTGAAACCCGGAGCTCAGTCAG